ACCCTATAGAAAAAGATATGACTCAGTTCACATAGTATAAAATTTTAGATATGAAAATTGCACCAACTTTCTTAAGATGTAGCAAAAATAAAATTTATACTGAAATACTATTTCTCATCTTTCAGATTGACAAATAACAAAAATTTGAGGGAAAAAGGACACTCCTGTACATTACTGGTGGGGCAGAAGTACCATCCCTGGGGCACGAGTGTGGCAATTCCAGCAAAACTTGCTTTGAGCCTCCACCCAGGCCATTCCCATCCAGGGTTTTACCCAGAGATAACGGCAGCAGAAACACAGAATGATGTGTGAGTGTTCTCTGCAGCACACTTCACCCATAGTGAAGATCTCATGTTGGCTGGATTGAATGTTAACCAGCTCTTTCAAAAAGAAAATGGGAGGGGGGTATCTATTTGCTGCTTTTGAGTGATTTAAGTTTATATTATTAAGTAGGAAAAAAACGAGGGGCGTATTGAGAGTATGGTGAAGGGGTTGTATAAGTGTTTGCTTCGATTTTTAAAAATAGAATAAACTAGCCGGGCTCAGTGGCTCAGCCTATAATCCCACGCCTTTGGGAGGCTGAGGTGAGTGGATTGCCTGAGTCCGCGGGTTCAAGACCCACCTGGGCAACTTGGCGAGACCTCATCTCTACGATAAAAATCAAAAAATTAGCCGGGCGTGGTAGCGCGCAGCTGTAGTTCCAGCTACTTGGAAGGCTGAGGTGGAAGGATTGCCAGAGCCCAGCAGGTCGAGGCTGCGGTGACCAGGAGCGGCCACTGCACTCCAGTCTGGGCGACAGAGTGAGACTCCAACTCAAAAAACAAAAAAAATAGAGTAAACCCCGAACTGATTTTTAAAAACTGTCTGAGGTGGGAGGAGGGGAGTGGTGCATAAAGCAAGTCTCTAAGACGCAGAAGTGGAACGTCACAAGTGAGGCTGCATGGTCTGGTGATGGCCTGTCCTGGAGGAATTATTTCAGGTGACTTTAGGCCACAGTGGTTTCACTGTATAAACCTAATGAAACATCTGAAGGACAAAAAAATGACAGAGAAATCTGAAACTTTAATCATTCTGTTGATCATTATAATGTTATTTGTATGTAGTTGTATATGATGGAGGATGATACGTATTAATGTTAGAACCAATTTTCCCTCAAAGGCGTAAAATAGTCCACAGTAAATGTCTGATCCATCCCCTCTGTGTGTATATTTTCAGGATAATGCATTGGTTCCATGGCATCCTCCCAAAGGCAGTCAATAAAGGCTTTTTAAAAAAATTATGAAGTCACATTTTTATGTGAACTTAGTTAACTATCTTTTTCTGTAGGGTTATCGGTCTTTTCCTGTTTTATTTTAGACAACCTATAATATACTAAGGATTCAGATAAAATTTATTCTGCACCTTACCTGTTCAAATAATTGTTGTAAGATCAAAGAAGCGAAGTAAAAACCGTGAATCCTAAATTTGAATGGGAAATTCATGTGATAAATGTTAATCACAATAGAAATTATAATTATTGCCACAAAATGTAACCAGGCCTTTGTGTCCAACTTGCTTGCAGCAAATCAAGAGGTGGAAAAGCATGCTGAATGGTACCATGGGGAGGCAGTTGGCCAAATTTGGGGTACAAAAAATTTTGCAGGGCTCATGACACAGTTTATTCAACAAATAAGTGGCAGAGCGAAAATAAATTGGTGGATGGGCTTGTCAAACACACATTGCCTGGTGTCTCCAAGGTTTTTCATTCAGTAACCCTGGCCAGGGCCCTTGAATTTGCATTTCTAAAAAGTCGGTAGGTATTCCCACTCCTGTCCATCCGGAAACTGCAGAACCATGTTATTAAAGATGTAGATTAAGAAATGCAATGTGTAGACCGTGTTTGGATTCTGTTTTGAACAAACCAGTCGTAAAAAGAAAAAAAAGTCTTTGATAACAGTATGAACTTTTTTTTTTTGAAGTTGGAGTTGAAGTCTCACTCTGTCGCCCAGATGAGTGCAGGGGCCGCTCCCGGCCACTGCAGCCTCGACCCGCTGGGCTCCGGCGATCCTTCCGCCTCAGCCTTCTGAGTAACCAGAATTACAGGCATGCGCTACCACGCCCGGCTGATTTTTTGATTTATTGTAGAGATGAGGTCTTGCCAAGTTGCCCAGGCGGGTCTCGAACCCACGGGCTCAGGCAATCCACTCACCTCAGCCTCCCAGAGCGCGGGATGACAGGCTGAGCCACCGAGTCCAACTAGTATGAACTTTTGAGACCATAAAGGAATTGGTGAAATTTGATAATATACTCATGGTATTGTAATTAAGTTTTTTTGTTGTTTTTGTTTGTTTGTTTGTTTTTGAGTCAGGGTCTCACCCTCTCAGGCTAGAGGGCTGTGGCACAATCACAGCTTACTGAGTCTTGATCTCCTGCCTCAGCCTCCTGAGTAGCTGGTATTACTGGCGCACACCACCACGCCTGACTAGGAGCGCCTGTCTTTTAAAAATGCACATCGAAATTATTTATGGGTGAAATGCTATAATGTTTGCTTGGAAATAATTGAAAGAAAAAAGTAGATGAGGCTGGAGGTAGAACAAGACAGACCACGTGCTGGTCAACAGGAAGGTGATGAGTAGTGAGTATGCAGGGATTCATTATCTATGTTTTGTGTGTTTATGTAAAATTAGTTTAAAAATTCAAAATGCATGTTTGGCAGCATGAAAACACATTCCTAAGTAGTTCATGGGATAAATGTTAATCACAATAGAAATTATAAATATTTGTAACAGTCATGGATTCATGGGGGGTACTATTTCAAAACATATGGCATGCCGGTAAAGCAGAACTTATAAAGGTAAATTTGAGTTAAGTCTTCCCCAAAAGATTGTAAAGGAAATAAGTTCAACTCAAAAGTTGGAAGGTGAAATACAGAAAGTGAGATTGTAGAGGCTCATTCCTATAATCCCAGCACTCTGGGAGGCTGAGGCGAGAAGATCACTTGAGCCCAGGAATTTCAGGCCAGCCTGGGCAACATGAGGGAAAGGGGAATTGGCAAATGGAAGGGAAATTAGTAGGATTTCTGTATTGTCTGATATCTTAAGTCGTTAATGTTCTGCCTCACTGAGTCAATTCTCGGCGTACGCAGAAATGACTTGGTGGTTTTTCAGCATGTGCTTTGTGTGAGGCACCAGGCGAGGCACTGAAGACCCATGTGACCCTCTGTGAGGAGCTTATGCCTTGTAAACGCAAAAGTCACAATCAGGTGAGCAATGTCAGTAGTACAGGGTTCCCAGGCATTCCTGAGAGGAGAAGGTTCTCAGTGAGTGTGATGGACTCTGGGAGCACCTTGGGGTTTGGCTTAAGGCTCTGAGAAGAGGTGGGGTTGACCAAGCAGCTGCTGTTTTATGATGGGAGCCCATGAAACGTCACCACACGGAGCTTGCTGTGTGGCTGGGAGGCCAACAGGGTGCAGGAACTGTCAGTGTGTGTGGCTCCGGAGTTTTGCAGCAAGGTTTATGTGAGGGATTGGTCTGTGGTTTTCCCTTAGTATCCTTGTAAGGCATCACGGTTCTGCTGGCCTCCTAAGTGTTGGAAAATATTCCTTCTTTGTCGTGCTATGAAAGAAGTTTATAAGATGGGTGTTACTTCTCTCTTGGCTGTGGAGCCATTTGGGTCTGGAGTTTTCTTTAGTCAGTGTGTATTAAACAGTGACCCAAGATTTCAACTTAACAAGTTGCATTATGTGTCTGAACAGGTATACTCTTTCTTACTAACATTTTCAAATAAAGCTTTTTTTCTTTTTTTTTTTAATTTTAGAGTCATGGGGTACATGTGAGGAATGAGTACATAGGGATGGTGCATGTGTGTTTCTAGGTCTGGGCTTCTGGTGGGTCCACCTCTGCCCCCTCCCTGTGGTGAGCATGGTAACAGGGTGGTTTGGGGTCCCTTGTTCCCTCCCTGCTTTAGCAGTGCCCACTGTCTGTTCCCATCGTTATGCTCGTGTGTGCCCAGGGTTTAGGTCCCACTTATGCGTGAGAACAGATTTTCATTTCGTGGGTAATTCATTTCGAATCTTGGTCGCCGGCTGCGTCCCTATTGCTGTGGAGGATATAATCTCGCTCTTTTTTATGACTGTGTAGTGTTCCGTAGTGTACAGTTACTTAAAACTTCCATCTGCGTGCTGAGGTGAGGCCACAGTTTGATCCCTGTTTATGTCAGGGACAGAAATTCACTAGTGTAAAAATCCAGTTCATTCTAGTCGCCAAATGGTGTGTCAGAGACAACTAAAAAAAATGTTTTTGCTTACTTGGGCTGTCTGGTGGGAGGACAGTTGTGCCCGGTGACTTGTGGACTCAACATTCTATGTGCACGGGTCGGACCAGTGTAGTCTCATCACTTTCTTAGGGGCATGTGTACACCTGCATACACACATGTCTCCATATACAGGCATATACTAAGGTTTGGTGATGTTGATGGGTTTTTCTAATCAGAATGCTTTGTCCCAGTTGCTTTTGGGGATGAATTTTAAGTTTATCTTTTGCCAGCAGTAATATATTTGCGTCGTTCAAACTTCAGAAGTGATCAACAAGTCTCTCCAGCAAAGCCTTCTGGTCACCCAGCTTCCCCTCTCCAGAGCCTGCAGTGTTGTTCGTGGCTTTTCAACTGCTCTTCCATTCACAGCTTCTGGATAGACAATATATATATCCCCGCTCCCCGTCTTTACGCTTTCCCTTCTGCGTTCTGCTTTTCACTAAATGCATCTCAGCCCGTTTCGTCTCATTGCATGTAAGCGCTGCCTCTTGTTTCTTTCCTCCTGTGACTGCCTTGTGTCTGGCTTGAATCAGGGTGCCGACCATGCTCACACGGCCACTGTGATACTGACGATGGCAGTTGTGTCCTATGTTCCTCCCACCCGGCACTGTGTTGAGTGTCCCCGGTTGCTGTTGAATAACAAAGTCGTTGTTTTCTCTTCCTTAACGAGTTTCTCAGGACAGATTTTTTTTTCTTTTTTTAAATTTCAGCCATGAGCCAGAGACTGAGTCAGAGCGCGCCCGTGAAACAGCCGCCACCCCTGGCCCCCCAGAGCCCACAGGGAGGTGTCCTGGGGGGCAGCGGCTCCAACCAGCAGCAGCAGATGAGGCTCCAGCAGCTGCAGATGGAGAAGGAGAGGCTGAGACTGAAACAGCAAGAGCTGCTGCGGCAGGTGAGGCCCCAGGTAGAGACCAGCCTTCCAATTCTCGGGGTTCATTTTCCTGGGGAGGGTGGGCACATTTCATTCTAGCACGTGTTTGTGACCGAGGAGGGCTGTCTCATCAGGCTAGAATGATACAGGGACACCCAGGCCAGCTGTGTCCTCAGTTTCTTGACAGGCTTTTGATCACACGGGTGGACCCTGTGAACCTGGCCATGGTCACACAACTGAGAAGTCAGGGGAAGCAGGGCGCATCCTCTAGTGTACATGCCACTGTAGATTTCTGTGTTACTGATGTCGCCCAGGGGGAAAGTGATGTCACCTTGGGACATCCCTTGGGGAGAAGCATCTTGCGCTTATTTGTGGGAGGGGATATCCCAAAAGATGTTTCTCTAATGACAGACACATGGCAATGTTATCGAATCTGAGAATTTTCACTGAAAACATCATAAAGGTTATCTCCAGGTTGAGAAGATGCCAGTGTGCCTTCCGACAAGCTACTTTGGGATATTGTTCCATTCTGGGACCCAGCAGTGGAGGATGGGAAGCCCCTTCTGGCCATTTCATCAGAAGTGTTTCAGGAAATCCTGGTGGATTTTGTGTTCCCAAAGAGTAGATCATTCTTCATCTCGAAATTAATTTTTACTTTAAGTCAGAGTAGTTAGAACAAGTTCGGCTATCGGGGATGTGATCTTTTGTTAAGCAATGTAGACATTTTAATTCTTTTTTTTTTTTTTTTTTTTTGAGTTGGAGTCTCACTCTGTCGCCCAGAGTGAAGTGCAGTAGCCGCTCCCAGCCACCGCAGCCTCGACCTGCTGGGCTCCGGCGATCCTTCCGCCTCAGCCTTCCAAGTAGCCAGAATTATAGGCATGCGCTACCATGCCTGGCTGATTTTTTGATTTATTGTAGAGATGAGGTCTCGCTGCCCAGGCGGGTCTCAAACCCGCGGGCTCAGGCAATCCACTCACCTCAGCCTCCCAAAGGCGCGGGATTACAGGCTGAGCCACCAAGCCCGGCTGACATTTTAATTCTACATGCGACATTTTTTAATAGATATTAGAAACAGCGCAATAGTGATACAGGGTCAAGAGGTTCAAGTACATTTGAAACAAAGTCTTCTTTTCCCTGTTTCCCTAGTTCTCTCCTCGGGGTATAAATAAATGGTGAGTTTCTTAGGTTTTGTCTTTTGTTATTTTCCCAGAGACGTTCTGTTAACAAACATAAAATACTTGGATCTGTACTATTTTCTTCCTACCTAAATCATAGCATATTAAGTGCAGACATGTAAAAGTCAGCATACTCTACATTTCTGTTACCAGGGTGGATGTATGTAAAGATCTGGTTTTTTAAGTGGTTGTATTTTTAAGTGTCTCTTGAATGTCAGTGAAAATACACGAACTCAGTACTCTCTCTGAACTCTAATCTGGGATTTAAGGAGCTTGCACCCGAGGAGCTAAATTAAGCCATGGAATCCTAGACAGACTCACCTTTAAACTGGGCTGTCTAGAATTCTCATGGGGTTGGCATCAAAGCTGTGATCGAGGAAGAAAGGATGTTCCAGTATGGGATGTCAGGCACTGCCGGAGTTCAGAACGCAACACTCCAGAAGACGGTGCTTGGACAAGCTCAACTAAAGAAGCAGGCCCAAGGTCCCAGAGCACAGGGTGCGGCAGTGCTCCGAGTTCCTTTATCTGGACCTACCAGGAAGGAGCACAGTTGCCCTTCCATCCCCTCCTGTTTGTATTAGCCAGAGAAGATCGAAACACATCTGAGAGGAAGAGACAGGAAATTCAACATCACACCTAGAGTGCCCAGGGGAACTTGGCCCAAACTGTTGTCTGTTCTCAGATCCCATTCAAATTTCAAAGAGAATGATTGACTAACCATTGTCTACGAGTTGGACCCATTCGTGTCCCCTAAAAGTCGCTTACCAGCTTCCAGAAGACCACATGTCCCCCTGTGACCTGGGGCGTGTAGGAGTCATTCTCCTGCAATACCCCTGTGCTTACGCAGGCCAAGTACATTTGTATGCCTTTTTCCCTATCAGTCTGTTGATTATCAGTTTATTTTCAGTGAAAGTTTTAGGCGGCAGAGGGAAGGTTTCCCCCTGCCCCTACCAAGAGGTCTTAGAAGACATGCTTCTTTGTCTGCCATAAAGAAGGGTTGTCAGAGGCACCTGCTGACAGTTTTTTACCCCTAACTGACTTCCTAGTGAGTTACTATAAAGGAAGAGTGTTTTTCAGTTACTATTGTTAAAACAAGGTGTCACCATCAAGAATATTATTACGTGGCTATCAGTAGAAATAAGACAATTTAAAAGTATGTTTTATATAAGCTACATTCGTCATTTTCCCTTTTGGTATTACTGAGTGCTAACTGGTCTAGGTAAATACAGGTCTCCATTTCATATGAGAATGAAACTATCAAAATCAAAAAGCTTTTATAAGAAAAAATTTAATTGCTAATGCCAAAGTCTTGCTGTTTTTGATATGATTGTTTAAGCTTAGACATGGGATCATTTACCACTTTGTTGTATGCCGTAGATCAGTGTGAGTGTTTTTGGTGGGAAAATGCTGCTACTTGTAAAACTCTTCCTTCCGAAGAGTTTTTCTAAGTCTTACTCTCATTCTTACTCCGGGTGATGGGTCCTAGACAGAATAGCTTCTCTTCTTTTAAAGGTAACTTCTTTGTTCCTTCTTTACTACCTACTGTGTTGTCTTTTCTTATTTTGAAGTGACAAACCTGCCCTAGTCTCATACTAATAGTCTATTTTTTAGAAATGTTTTTGTTTTTTAGCTATCGATGTAAATCCAGTATATCTTAAGCCTTTTGACTTCTTGCAAACTTCTTCCGTTGACAGTTTCTCTTATCACTGAAACTTCAAATCTATTTTATCTGCTTTATTTAATACTCAGAAGCAGAGAACGTACCTGACCAATATCAGGTTTTGGTCCCGACACCCAGCATCTTGCTGTCCTGTCCCCAGGGCTGTTAAGAACTCCTGAGGCTTCCATTGTGCTTTGGGTACCTCTGTTGGCGCCTGTCTCCTTCAGTCTGCCGCTTCTTGGGTAGCTTGGGAATTCTGTGCTATGGTGATATGTCTGGATACAGTATAAGTCAGCCTACGCAGCCAGGCCATGGAGCCTAAAGTAATTTTTATCCGTCTTATTTTTCACTCTTAGGCAATGCGGAATATCAATCCCAGCACAGCAAATTCTCCAAAATGTCAGGTAGGCTCTTATCTGATGTTTTAGCATTGAAAAAAAAAGAAAGATATTAGGAAAGAGAGAAACTTAAAATTCTGGGGGTCTGTCCTCACGAAGATTAGCCCAGGGTATACCTAAACCATCTTTCTACCAAGAGACTTAAGTTAACGTTGTTGTTTCCAGAAAGTCCACCCAGTCTGTTCCTCCCAGTGCTCCCAGAGTATGTCTATGTCTAGTATTTATTTTGAGTCCACAGAGTTCGGTTTTATTCCGTATTTGAAATGTATTACGTCTCAATTGTGCATCCTGTCAGCTTCTAAATGTACCTAATTTTTATTTGAATAGCTTAAAATAGTATTTGGTATGCTTCACAGGAATTAATAAATTGAACAATAGCAGGAGTCCTACAGATGACTTACTTGGGTAGGCTAGTTTTGGAAGTCTTATCAGAGTCATGATATTATGAGGGGGAAAGAAAATCCCCTCTAGCGGACATTCCAAAGGAAGACTAATCAAAATTGTCAGAAGAGGCAGGGCAGGACCTGCCTGGACAGTGTTCCAGAGTTCCTTGATGGCTTTCATCAATATTTCTCCCCGATGAACCCCAGGGAGCATGGCTTCTGAAGGCATCTTGCTTAGATGGGAAGGTTGTGGCCGTTTTTTCCTTCTGACACAGGCGCTTGTCTGACTCGTGGCAAGAATCTCATTCTCGAAGCCACAGGTGTCCTGCATGTTTAAGGTCCATCGATTAGAAAGGTGAGGAGCTGGAGGCTCACTGCACCTTGTCTTGGGCAGAAGCAACCCTGCGGTGCCTCCCGTTCTCGACAGCTCGTTCCGGACTGAGCTGAGTAAGTGTGTTGTATTCGAGTCAGCTGTGGAGGTGGGAGCTGGTGGGATGCCACTCCTTTCGAATACCAGTGACTTGTCCATTGGAGGACCGTGGTGATCCGTTAGATGCAGCCCTCATAGAGACCAGTTCATTGTGTGAGAGGGGAAATCTCTTCTTGATCTGTCTCGTAAATTCCTCCATTCAGTCCAAAGATCAAGTAAGGGGCAACTCATAGCAGGTCATCTTCAAAGTGGAGCGCAGAGGTTCTCACGCCAGACACATTTGAAGGTGGAGAGCAACACGGCGTAGGAGCTTCAAAACGTGGAAATGTTTTTCTTTGCTTTCTCTTGGAAGTGTTCCGAAGGAAGGCTTTTGTTATGGTAAATCGAAGTAGGAGCAGAAGTTAGCTCAAAGGAAATGTGGATTCTAGTTAAAAGTCCTCTGTGCCAAAGTGGATATTGAAATTGTTTCTTTTTTTCTCTACTCAGATCTGAAACCTTAAATGTGGGAAACAAATTAAAGCCTTCTCAGTTCATATTTGAGTAGAAGAGTATATAATTGCTGTTATTAAAATGATCAAAAATTCTTGCATTCCTCTAAATAATAAAGCTTTAGAAGAGGTAAGGCTTATCAATCATAAACATTCTACAGTATTAAAATTACAGAATTGATTGCTTAGATTTGCCTAGGCTGGAGCCAGGAAACCTGAAAGAGAACGGCTTTTTGTTTGTTTGAGTTAGAGTCTCACTCAGTCGCCCAGCCACCGCAGCCTTGACCTGCTGGGCTCTGGTGATCCGCCTCAGCCTTCCAAGTAGCTGGAACTACAGGCGCGCGCTACCAGGCCTGGCTAATTTTTTGATTTATTGTAGAGATGAGGTCTCGCCAAGCTGTCCAGGCGGGTCTTGAACTCGCCTGCTCAGGCAATTCACTCACCTCGGCCTCCCAAAGCGCAGGATTACAGGCTGAGCCTCCAAGACCAGCCAAGACCAGCTTTTTAAAATCCACTTTGCTTATGCTGAAGGTTAAAATATTGATTCCTTGTGTATGTTTTGTTGTCAGTGTATTTACCTGGTGCAGTTGTGAAGATCGTCAGTACGTGTATGAAATTCCAGAACAGGGTTAAATTCGCTGTAGCTCAGATACAAGGAACCCCAGGCTCTGTTTGTATCAAGAAAGCATTTGACCTTAGGGTAGATGTCGGGAAAGACTTCACAGAGAAGAGTCTTATCTTAAGATGGCTTTAAATATAGTGTTTTCTGGGATATTCAAGAAAGCGGCAAAAGCCATCTCGGTCTTCAAAGCACATAGAAAGACATAGCATAATACCAGAGTGCCAAGCACGGTGGTTCAAAGTTTTGTTTTACTTTTCTTTTTGGGTCAAAGTCTCACTCTGTCACCCAGGCTGGAGTGCAGTGCCGCAATCACAGCTCATTGCAGCCTGGAGTCAGACCATCCTTCTACTCGGTCTCCCGAGTAGCTGGGGCTGTAGGTGTGTACCACCACATCTGGCTTTTTGTTGTTGTTGTTGTTGTTCTTTGGTAGAAACAAGGCTTCACTGTGCTTCCCAGGCTCGTCTTGAACTCCTGGGCTCAAGCAGTCCTCTCGCCTTGGCCTCCCAAAGCACCCAGCCTGTTTTACTATTCTAATAAATATCAGTGCAGCTGAGTTGACAAAGCAACAGTGAAGTCATTGTCATTATTTTATAGTAATAGACCTCATTTGCTGTGGGAACTATAGACATACCCAATTCCAAAATGTTCATGAATTACTAACTTCAAAGGTCGTTCAACGTACTTCTGAAAGAATTAACAAATTGTGTCTGATTGTAGAATTCTGTGGTCATGTACCCTGATGTCAGTATGGATGGGATTAGTGAAAACTCCTAAGAGATTGACTTGAGTGATATTAAAATGTAAAATTTTTAAAAATAAAGAACTTCAAAGGCACTTATGTATCTCCATTAAATAAGGAAATTTTAGTTGCCTTAATTTATTACAATGTGTTTGCAGAATTTGGGGAAATTTTGTGATTACAGAGCTTAAAATTTTAATTTCATTTTGATTGTTCACAATTTTTATGTTTCAAAGGCAGTTTTTATTCTCAGAAGAAGCTTTTTGAAACTGTCAGCATCGTTGCTTTGTGAGAGTGGGCATTTAGTGCTCAGTTTTCTAGTGGTAACACCAGTTTTCACACTGGTGCTCTTCTGTGAATGGGAAAAACCTTCGGAGAGCAAGGGCTTAGGAGAGCCTCCCAGCTCAGTTTCGGGGTCTTTTGAGAGAAGCCTTAAGGGGAAGATGTCCCCCTGGGTGTGAACGTTTTAACCTTCCCTTGTGTTTAAGAATATGGTTCTGGCCTGTAATCTCGCGCCTTTGGGAGGCTGAGGTGAGTGGATTGCCTGAGCCCGCGGGTTCAAGACCCGCCTGGGCAACTTGGCGAGACCTCATCTCTACAATAAATCCAAAAAAAAATCAGCCGGGCGTGGTAACGCGTGCCTGTAGTTCCAGCTACTCGGAAGGCTGAGGCGGAAGGATCGTCGGAGCCCAGCAGGACGAGGCTGCGGTGGCCGGGAGTGGCCACTGCACTCCAGTCTGGGCGACAGAGTGAGACTCCAACTCAAAAAAAAAAAAAAAAATGTGGTTCTGAAGTCGGGGCCTCCCTGATCCTGTGAGATCCGGACTGAACCCTGCAGCCTGGCTCAGGGTCTGTGGTCAGTGCCTCCGCCCTCGCGGGTTCTGGTCAGGCTGGCTGTTCTTCCCCTGGCTGGGTGTGCTGCTGCTTCGTGGCTATTCTCACAAGCTTTCCCCCATGAGGCCCTTGCTTACCCCCCACCTTACAGATTCAGGTGGCTCCTTTCTCCTATTAGGCCTAAGTCAGCCTTTATCCTCAAGCATCCTCATCAGAATTCTCGAAGCTACCCAGAAGGGAGCAACGGACTGCTGTGTCCAGATGTCTTAACTCGCCAGCCAGTGTTGTTCCAATTGAAGTGGTCAGAAATATGATGTGGAATTGTTTTTGTTTCTGAGCAAATAATTGCTTCATTTTACCTAGAAATGATAGTATTTTTGCAGCTAATGAATAATATACATAGTTACGCCAGAGCCAGTCCCTGGTACAATGAGTGATACCACCCATGGGGTATCCAGGTCATTGTACTGCACCATTACCCCAGACAGTGAAGAGATTCAGGTGTTCAGAGCTGTCATAAGCTAGAGCAAAACAAGACCTGCTCAGAACCACGTGGAGACAGTTGCCAACAGCCTTGTTCTCTTGACTTTAGTGATAGTAAGGAATTTGACTGTTTTTCCTCCAAACTATTTTATGTTAACAGACTCTGGGAAACTGTTTCAGAATCCTGTTAACACTTTTTTCTGACATAATCTCTCTTCTCTTCGAAGTTCTCACATTAAGCAAATAATATTTGTTTCCCAGTGAATAGTTTACACTTTCTTTTTCTCTTTTGAGTCATAGTCTCACTCTGTCACCCAAGCTGGAGTGGTGGCTCATGGCCACCGCAGCCTCGACCTGCTGGGCTCAGGCAATCCTTCCACCTCAGCCTTCCCAGTAGCTGGAACTGCAGGTGAGCGCCACCCAGCTAATTTTTTGATTTATTGTAAAGATGACATCTCGCCAAGTGGCCCAAAGTGGTGTCGAACCCGTGGTCTCGGGCAGTCCTCTCACCTCGGCCTCCCAAAGTGCTAGGATTATAGACTCGAGCCACCATGCCCGGCCTACACTTTTTTTTAATGGGTATGTTGGAAACTTTATACAGTGGCTATGACCCGCGTACCCTTATAGTTTATTGCATTTGTTTTATTAACTAAAATTGCCTCTTCCTTGATGTTTGAACAATGCCATAATAACTTTTCTTACTTTAATTGAGGCGATAATTAAATAACACAAATTGCAAAAACGCCTAAATCCAAAAGTCTGTCAGAAAGAGTGATGGCCTCAGTCCGGGAGTTCAACAGCCTGGACAACGTAGCAAGAACTCATCTCTACCAAAAATAAAATAAAATTAATCAGGCATGGTGATGTGCGCTTGTACTTCCGGCTACTTGGAGACTGAGGCAGAAGGGCTGCCTGAGCCCAGGAAGTCAAGGCTGCTGTGGGCCATGATTGTGACACTGAACTCCAGCCTAGGCGACAGAGTGAGACCCCATCTCAAAAAAGAGAGCACCAGTTTTGGATGTTACTT